AGTGGTCTGTGGTTTCCTTTAAAGAGCACTGTAACGGTCAAAGTTGCTTTTCGCCTCCTGTTCAATGCCTCTTCCATATCGTTCTCCACGTTCAAGAACGCTCGAGAGTAAGAAGACGTCTACGCGCATTGACAACTTTCTTAATCCATTCTCTTATCTTTGCAAAAAGCTTCAGACGAATTTTCCTTCGGGATTCGCAGTCATGTCCTCTTCCCTTTAGTTCTCTTGAAACCGTCTCTGCCTCACTAATCTTCTTCGAACAGAGAACAGTGACGTTCACAAAGCGAAAGTTCGACAGTTTCCAATCAGTCGGAATCGCGCATACCCTCTCTTTAAATCCAGTTACTTCACCACTCAGCCAAGGCGGTGATAAACACCCAGCATGGTCGTTTTGTCGGATCCTTTTCGCAGCTGGTGTGCTAAGGAGACGATGGGGAGTCAATGGAGGAGAGACCATCGTGGAGTAGAGTTCTTGTGGCAGTCGGCCAATCCGCTCGCGGTTCATCTGAGTATTTTTTATTTCTATAAACAGCGAAGGTTAGGAGGAGAGAAAGGCGATACCCTCAGCACATTTTAATAACCTCGAAATTGTCTATGGTCAAACTTACAAAATCCAGCTTGTTCTTCATGTTAAGATTCGTCTAATGTCCTTGGTAAAGAGTTAGGATAAGCTATTAAAGTGGCCTTTGGATCTCTTTTTTATGAAGATAGGATGTTAGATAGGCCACCAATAACTCGTGCAGGCGATGATCTTCAATTCTTAGCGGCCATAAAGCGGTTCGCGCAGTGGCTGGTTCATGGTCTACATTGCGACGCGTACTTCATCAAGTAGAATTTGTGATGGTACCTTCTCTAGTGCAGATAGTGGGCTTGACACGGTTGTTAATGAGCAGAAGAAGTAAGTGAAATCTCTTTGTTATCCATTTTATATTGTGCTCAAGAGGTGAGAGTCTTGTCTTCGTCTAAGATGTTGTCGGCCTGCGATAACCGCAAATGTCGTGGCAATTCTTCGAACCCTTCCTTTCTTACGCTACTCCCAAAAGAATTGTATGCAGATATAACAATCTTCTCAAGGTTGTTCTGCAACTCGTATTGGGTACGAGTCGCTCCGGATGTTATGCAATCAGATCCAGCCCCAGTTCTCTCCTCCTCTCAATTAGCTTGATGAAATGCGTCCCCTCTCCCTGTTTGGGGCATTGAGGTGCTTTCAGGAGAGGCTCTCAATTCTTTGAAGCGTGTCTCCTCCGTTAGCTCCTCCTTAATGGAGTCACAAAAGATCTCCTCCCGACTTGACCTCGTCATATACGATTATCCTCCTATCTGTAACACGATGACACACCTTCTTTTTCAGCTTTCGACCAAGTGCACTTTCGCTTGGGGGAAGTGATGCGAACCATTGCAAGAGAATGGTATCACCAAGACATCGACACCACTAGTAGCCTGCCGAGAATGTCACCAATCTCCGAATGAGTTGTACTATTGGGCGACTTCCACGTCCACTGCTGGTGTCTTTTGTTAATGAACAGTGTTTCTTTGAACAAGTGGGTGCGGATAAGAGCCCAACAAGACGATTACAATTCTCATTCCGGAGCCCCGAACAAATTTTGCGGTTCTATATTTCCGTTCTTCTAGCATCTTTTCGCATTGATGTCACCTAGCACGAATTTGTAGAACAAATTTTCTTTACGGATGATCCTTCAAGTCCTCGTAAGAAGCATGCATTCAAGTAATTAGCTGTTCACTTTGGCTAGAAGGAGCTGATGATAATGATGGTCTTTTGATGCAGAGAAAGAAAGGAAGGC